CTAGGCCGCGTCCAGGGTATCTTAAGGTCCCTATTGTCTACTTCTTAACCTGACTGTCAGTCCTACCCAAAGAGAGGGAAGGCGAGAAGGGAGAGGACATCGAAATGCCTGGTAATCGTGTATCTTCTTGTCTTTGCAGAGTTGACGGTGGAATCTCAAACAATGACTTCGTGTTGGAGTTAATGAGCAGTTTAACTTGTCAGACGATAGATCGACCCTCGCAGACCGATATGTCGACCCTCGGTGCTGCATTCCTAGCTGGACTTGCCACAGGTACGTTTGGTTCTTTTAGTTTTGAGCTGAGTTATCACAGTATCACCAGTAAACAAGTATCACAAGTACATAAGTACTAGTTGATACTATGTCGATGGTGGAAGCCAGTCTCCGAGACTGGACTGAGCGCGCAGTTTACGCGGCTGCGTTGTTAAGCAACTGATCACACCATGATGACGTGGAATTCTGTGATTGGATAACGGATAGCGGTGACTTAAAGAGAGCTTTAACGAAGACTTGCCAAAAACAGCACTAAATTGTCTTGTTCCCCGACCAAGTTTAAGAAATGGAAAACATTTTCGGCGTTTTTTGTCGAGTTGTAGAAACACGAGTGGAAGTTTGGGAGTACGAGAAACAGCTTTTTCGGTTTCTCACAGACTTTCCAGGTTGTCTCTTAAAATCGATATAGACACGAAGAAAATGTCTTCTATTTCTTTTAGAACTGAAAAATGCGAAAGAAAAGAGGAAAAGGACAAGACAGACAAGAATCTAAGATATGAAACATCAGTCTGAAAAAAAATCCGAGTTAACTGTAAAATTCCTGGAGATCTTTGGTCAGCGATTTAAGTGAATGTCATTCTCAGTTTAATGGATTCAATGTTGCCGTGCGTTTGTTCAGTAATAGATCACAGATGACGTCAAAATGTGGTAAGAACAAAAATGTGGCACACGAGATGATAGCCGAGTTTGTATTGAAATGTTCTCACCACATTTTGACGTCTTCTGTGATCTATTACTGAATAGACGCACGGCAACGTGGAATCTACTTGTTTTATAACGTAAAGAAACAAAAAAATGGAAATGACGTCATCTGTGCATCTGTCCTCCTATGGATCATAAGTAAGAACCAATCAAAATACGAGAATAACTTGACTTATCATATGAAGAATTGTTTTGTTAATCTTTGCCTGATGTGGTTCATTCCCATGTTAGGTGTTTGGAAGTCTCGTGACGAGTTGAAAGCGATCCGCTGTTCTCAAGCGCTGTTTCAACCCAAGGCGTCTATAAGAGATAAATACCTAAAGAATTTTGACGAATGGGGAGAGGCGCTGCATAGGAGTAAAAACTGGTATAAATAAGGCTAAACGCCTCCGGTATTCTACAGAGATTAAGCGAATTTTTGCAAAGAATGTTTGCCTCATTAGCATATAAAGCGTTTAGGTCTGTGATCGAGCTACAAAGATATCATCTCTAAATAATCTGGGTCGGGTTGTTCAAAGCCCGATTAAGCTAACCCAAGATTAACAGGAATTTTGATTTCAGTTTTGTAACTTTT